GTTTGTAAATCTGTAACTGTTTTTCTGGCGATTTGTTAAAAAATGATAAAAGAAGGAAGTAAATGATATGGTTCACTGTGAATAAATTTCAATTTATTCACAGTATTTATGTTAAAGTGTTCTTAATTTTTCTTCAGAAAATAGAAGGAAAACAACGGGCATGGAATAAATATTTTTACTAAAGTTTGGTTTGTTTTTGTTTTGGGGTGCACCCGACTGTACTCAAGGCTTACTCCTGGCTCCGCAATCAGGATTCACTCCTGGGAGGGCTCTGAGGACCATAGAATGTGCTGGAGATAAAACCTGGATTGACCACATGTCAGGCAAGTACTCTCCTCACTATATTATTATTCTGGCTTATCAAAGTCTATTTTTAAAGGCACTAAAACCCCCCACATTAAATTCATTCTTCTGTTCTCACTTTTGCACAATGTTGGCATAACTCAGTGAGAGCATTTTGCCTGCTATCTCCAGAGTAAGAAACAGGGAATTAACTACCATTTTTTCAAATAACAAACCTTCTAAAAAACCACTGATTATTGCTTGCTGAGGCAAACAGCAATCTCCAGGGAATCTATTATTAACGAAATTTACTTATTGAAGAAGGAAATAGTAAGTCTGGACACATTTGCTTTAAAGGTCTTTGGAAGAATGTAATCTTATTTCTTGCTTTTCTCAATATGGGCTGGAGCAATAGAACAGCGAATAACCTTGCATTCAGCAGACCTGGGCCACCCGGGTTCGATTCCTCTGCCCCTCTCGAAGAGCCCATCAAGCTACCAAGAGTATCTTGCCCACATGGTAAAGCCTAACAAGTTCCCCATGGCATATTCGATATGCCAAACACAGTAATAACTCTCACAATGGTGATGTTACTGGGCCCGCTTGAACAAATCGATGAACAATGGGAGGACAGTGACAGTGAGTTTTTTTAATTTTTTTTCTGTTTATTCAGCACTGTAGCACTGTAGCACTGTCCTCCCGTTGTTCATTGGTTTTCTCGAGTGGGCACCATCTCCATTGTGAGACTTCTTGTTACCGTTTTTGGCATATCGAATACATCACGGGTCGCTTGTCTAGCTTTGATGTACAGGTGGAACACTCTTGGTGGCTTGCCCAGCTCTCCGAGAGAGGCAGAGGAATTGAAACCAGGTTGTTCGTGTGCAAGGCAAATGCCCTAACCAGTATGCTATCACTCTGGCCCAAAATTTAAAAATTACAAATAAAAGATAATGAAAATGCCGAGTGTGTCCCTGAAACAATACCAACAGAAGAAGCAAAACACTCAAGTTAAGTGTGAAAAGAGAAGTAAATTTATTTGGTTTGTTTTGGGTCACACACAGTAATGTATAGGGCTTTTTCCTAGCTCTGGGCTGAGGAAATACTCCTGGGTGTTCCTGCGGACCATATTGGATGCCAGGGGTCGAACCAGGAGTGATTTCTGAGTGCAGATTCTGGAGTCACCCATGCCCATTGCCAGCTGGGCCACAAAGTGAAACAAAGCAAAAAAATTATGTTAAACTCCTAAGAAATAAAGCCAGGGACTGGGGAGATACTCCAGCAGGTTGGTGCTCACCTATACACTGCAGAAACTTAGCGTTCTGACCCCTGTCCATTCCTCCGGGGCGAAGCTCACAGCCATATCAGGGAAGGTCACTGGGTCCTGAACCAACAAACACAAGGGAAAGGAGCGAGACCATACCACCCCATACTATGGGATGTGAGGATGAGAACCCCAGCGCCATAGAGAAGCTCAGCCCTCTCCCTCTTCCCACTCCTGTTGGGAAGAACCAGCTTCCACCTGCATTTTGGGCTAATGAGCCCAGAAATCCTCACAGGAAGCCAGATCTGCTACAAGAACACTATACTAGAAGATTCTGGACAGGTTCTAGCAGGTTCTGGACTTGCATGTAGCCATTCCAGGGATAAATCCAATGAGCACCGCAGAGTGTAACACCTGAGCAGAAACTCAACAGGACCAAAAAAATAAATAAATAAATAAAAAAGCAACACTGGGTTGGAACAAAACACTAGACCCCTCCTATCCCCCAATGCCATATCCCACATTCTCTGTTTTATGTTCTAGGGATGAAAAGGGGACACACAATGTCCAGCGAGTGACTTAAAGCTATATGAGGACATATGTGCCAGAAAGGGCTTGGAACTCCTGTAGCTGGGCCACCCCAAATCATCCCTGGGCAGGTAAAATTGACTTGACCCCAATACCTCTGCCTATCCCAGAGATCCTCTGCTCCCAGGGACAGGGGCATGCTCAGAACTGCACACATTGCAGTGAGTGAATGTGAGACTGTGTGACTGAGCAGGCGACACTCTCCAGAACAGGAAGGACGAAATATGGGAAACACATGTCCTGGGGTTAGTCACTATAGTTGCCAGTGCATAAACAGAGCCTGCAAACCCTGGGTGAATCCAGAGCACAGAGGCAAGAGGAAACCATGAGCATCTCCACTGTGGCACAGAAACAAATATGAAAGAAAACAAAGCAGCAGGATGGAGTAACGGGACAGTTTATTCAGCAGTTTATAGAAATCTGTCACTGTCACTGTCACTCTCCTCCCGTTGTTCATCGATTTGCTCGAGCGGGCCCAGTAAAATCTCCATCATGAGACTTGTTACTGTGTTTGGTATATCGAATACGTCACGGGGAGCTTGCCAGGCTGTGTCATGTGGGCAAGACACTCTCGGTAGCTTGCTGGGCTCTCCAAGAGGGGCAGAGGAATCAAACTCGGGTCAGCCATGTTGGCTGCGTGCAAGGCAAATGCCCTACCGCTGTGCTATAGCTCCAGCCCTTATAGAAATCAGGGGTCTGAAAAACACCAATATACTCTGGTCTCTAAATTCTTATAAAGATTAGCACTGCAGCACTGTCCTCCCATTGTTCATCGATTTGTTTGAGCAGGCGCAGTAAATCTCCATTGTGAGACTTGTTATTGTGTTTGACATATTGAAAACATCACAGGGAGCTTGCCAAACTTTACCGTGCGGGTGAGATACTCTCGGTAGCTTGCCGGGCTCTCCAAGAGGGGCAGAGGAACTGAACTCAGGTTGGCCACGTGGGCGGTGTGCAAGGCAAAAGACCTACCCGCTATGCTATTGCTCCATCCCTTATAGGACTATACATTTTAATCTTACTTTTAAATGGCATAAAATATCAGCCTAGAATGTAGTTAAGTGATAATTTACCATGCATTTTCAAAGCCTTAGGGGAAAACCCTGTCACTTAAAAAATTAAAAATGACACAGTAGTAGAGTACATAGGGTAGGACAATTGCTTTGCTCATGTTACACCAGGGTTGAATCCCTTTTGATCCCTAGCACTCCCAATGGTCCCCTGAACCTGCCAGGAGTGATCTCTCAGTGAGGACAAGAGAAACCCAAAAACAAACAAAATGGGCATAAAATTTATAAATGATGACTAAATACGCATGCATCAGTATGGAGATTATGAGTATGTATTCATACTCCCATAATGTATTTCTTACTCTATCATTAAAGTATACTTGGGAGGATAGAAAATTCCATGCCTGGAAGTTGGAGCAATAGTACAGTGGGTAGGGCATTTGGCTTGTACACAGCTGATCTGGGTTAGACCTCCAGCATTCCTGCCCACTACTACTGCCAGTAGTAATTTCTGAGTGTAGAGCCAGGAGTAATCTAAGAGCATCGCCTCGTGTGGCCCCAAAACAAAACAACCAACAAAATCAAGTCTCTATATAGAAATAAAAATACATGTCAAATTAACATTCCTTGGAGACTTACTTACTACTTACCATAATAAATAAAGGTTAATAAATATTCTGCTGAAAATTTAGTACAAAGTTATGAAAAATAAGTCAATTTATAATAAATTCAATAAATACAAAAAATTACTTAAATTTACACATTCAATAAATATTATACATGCCTTAAGTTACTGTGCCTGCTCGAGCAAATCGACGAACAATGGGAGAACAGTGCTAACAGTGCATGTCTTAAGTATTAAGACATTTTAAGTTTTCCTTTAGTTCAACTCATACTGGGTTTCCATAAAATGGTGAAGGTATAGTCTAAAAGTCACTTTTCCATTTCTATGGCTGTATTGGTAATATTCTGTTTACTTTTATTTAAATAAAAAATATCAATAAATATTTAATTTGATAATATTTGTGTTTCATTTTTACCTTACCTCAGTGCAAAAACTATGCTATGCATAAGAAAATAGTGGATTAACTATCATTTGTGGGCACCCATTTATTACTTTCTCCCTGTAATTTCAATGTACCAATAAATTTAATATGTAAAATCATAATACTCCTTACAACATTGGGATTCTTCATATTTTTGTATGAAAATGCAAAGGATTCCTTTTCGAAGCTATTCCCAATGGCTACGTACTTCCTCCCTTATGTGTATCAGCTGGAGTCTTGACAGGAACAGACGGCACCCTTGAGCTGGTTCCTTGTAGGGAGTTTAACAAAGTGATCATTTATGTGATGAAAAATAGGAAAAGCATCAAGGAAGAGAGCAGATACATCCTTTCCTCACCCCCAAGGACAAACCAGCCAGACTTGTTACTATCTGCAAGTGAGAGGCAAAGAGAAGTTATTGGAACCTGTAAAGGACAGCTTAGCAGGGAGGCCCACCCCTCCCAGAGATGAATCTGTCAACTAGAATCCCGTGAACAACAGAACAACTCACATAGTCTATCTATGTTATCCACCAGGATGTAAAACAGGCATAACAGGTGACTGGGAAGATCTAGGTATAAAACTGGGCAGAATGGGTGACTGGGAAGAAATAAGATTATCTATAACCCTTCCAATAAGGCTTTTATAAACAAAAGAACCTTTCTAATTGGGCATACAGTTTAGTGAGAATCACCCCAATTTGGAAATAGTCTGGTGGAAGTCTTTCATCAGCAGTTCTAGGAATTTCTAGGAAGCAGCTTGTATGATGCAGAAACTGTGGGGAAAAGGAACATATTAAACACAACACTGATGTGTTATAAGGTAAGAGAAATATTTATTTCGTTTTGCACAAGAACAAGCTTATACTGAACAAATTCAACCAAATAATATTAAGTGCAGCAAAACACGGAAATGGGGGCGTTTTTTCCTGTTAGAAAAGATTAAGTAACCATGCCTGTGCATTATTTTTATCATTACAGTAACTTGTTTCAGATTTCTTTTTCAGTATGTATACTGTACAGAACACATTATAGCTTCTTGCTTTGTTTCTGAAAATATAATTCTTTCACTGCCTTGCATTTTTGTTTTGAGAAACCTAACTGATTCATGAAGATTCTGATAAGAAGAAAATTTTTTCTGCACCAAAGAAGCAGGAGCCTTGCAACTGCTAACGGGCTCGGGCCTTATGTCCAGATGTCATTATGTGTGCGACGCACATGTTCCTCTACAAGGTAAGGTCAGACAAAGTAGAGCAGAGTTCTGGTCTAGTTTTTCCCCAAGAATTTTCCTTTTATGGTTTCTCAAGCTCCACAAATTTTATAATTGAAAGTTCATTCAGCTATTAACAAAGCTGAACTCAGCTTCTCCAAATTTAAGTTTTAACATTTTTTTTGTAACTTTTAACTTAAAACTTAAAAGATTTAAGTTTTAACATTTTTGGGGGGGAGTCTTTTAAACAAAAGAAACTTCTTAAAGAAAAACATTCCAGGAGACAGTTCTCATCACAGTTCCTGAAGGCACTGCGGATCCACGGAACAGCAGGTGTGTCCATTCTGTAAAGGAGGGAAAGAAAATAGGTGTGAATGTTGACGTTGAAGGTGTCATCCAAAAAGCAAAAGAAAAAAAAAAGAAAGAAGAAACGTATCTATAAAGATTCTTCATCATATGCGGCTAAAGCCAACAGCAATAAGTTTGAGAAATTAACCTTTGGTTTGTCTCTGAAAAGTAACATGTATCATACTGTAAACATTTATAAAATGATGCAACTAAACATTACTGCAATCTTTCACTGCTACTTTACAAAGTTCATTAGTTAATGGATGTTGAAAGGGTGGTGAGAGTCTATAAATATTATGAAAGCTATCTTATTTAGTTAATATTTCATGTAGGTCCCAAGTCTACACAAAACAAGATTTAGAGAATTTCTTGAATCTGAATTGATAATATCAGCTCAGTTAAAAAGAGGAACATCAGATTGTGTTTCTCATTTATACAAAAAAGAAAATTTTCTTCCCTAGATCTTCAGCCCAGAACTGATAAAACGACAGTCCAGACATTCATTATTTCCATTGTCAGCTTTCATGGGGTAATATGTGATGAGGTCAATTTGTTGTACTTGTTACAGAACTACCGTGCCTCATTATTTAAGGCAAACTAACAGGCTAACTATTTACCCCAGGCATCATTTTAGATAATATTGGTTCTTTTATTTACTCATTCACAAAATACAGTGGTTATACACATGGATAAAGTAGACAGGGTCACTATCATCATAGGTCAGGAATTACAATTTAATGGGGAGAAAACTACCTAGTACAAATCAAAATGAAAATAAAACTTGTAAAATGTGCTAGAAAGGAAGCCAATGCAGCAGTTTTATAAGATTAAAAAAATATTAGTTACTTAGATAGCATGGTCAGGGGAAATTCATTTATAGAGGTAATAAAACAAGCCCTCAAGACGGTTTTGTGAAAAAATAACCCAAAAGCACAGGGAAGAGAAGAATAAGGACTTTCAGATGAAATGAAATTATTAAGTAACTGAAAAAAATTGATGTGATTTTAAGTTAGCGAATAAAGTGGTGTAAAAATGAAGAAAAAGATATGGAGAAAAAGAGAGACATGAATTACCTATTTTTATAACAAAATGCCATAATACAGAATATTATCCCCAAAGTTCATATCTTATTCATTTCAGTCCTTTCTTTAACCATTTAATAGCAATTGTGTTATCTCATTACTACAATCACAAAGATGACACTAACCTATTTCCTGAATTCATACTTGGTGTCTGATACTCTGCCAGACACTTTCAATAATTTCCACCTCACATTATTCCCCCAAAGATCAATTCTAAGAGTCCCATTCTTTAGATTCAGAAACTGAGTATCAGAAACTTAACTAGCATGTCCAAAACTATACAGTCAATACTACTTATATCTGAGATTAAATATCGAAGTTAGTCTGACTATAAAACACTTGACTATATTTCTTACAGATAGTCTTCTTTAGGCTACTGAATATGTATTATAATTAAATATGATAAAATTAAAAAGTATTTGTCACTCAGGGGATATGGTGCCACCAGCAGGTCAATCTGTACCTGTGAGGCGAGTGCATCAGCAGTCTGATGACTCCATCAGACTTTCAGATACCCCAAAATTTCTGCTGTGCCTTTGGCCAGACCCCAAAAACGTGGGGCAAAGTTTAGCAAGAAAGTAAATGGCAAAAAGTTAGGTATGTAGGAGACACCCATACACCACCTCCGGCTCAGCTATATTATTGGAGGCATGGCCTCTTTGGTTCCTGATCGAACCGCTTAATGGCCATGATCTCAGAAACTCAGAAACGAATCTTGGAACCCAATGGCATTTGGCAGAAATGCGTCCTGCTCCTGCAGTAGGTTACAAGCTCTGGGCCACTCAAGGTGGGAATAGGTTTCGTGCTTTGGCCTGTTTCTCCTGGCGGCCAGGTGACCGCCATCCTCCAGAGACCACTGGACAGTCAGGTTTGGGCCTGCAGTGATGAGACACGCGGGGCTTCACGGGACGGGGATGGAGCTGGCCCTTTCCTCCCCATCCCAACGAGACCCCGAGTCGCTGCCCACAAACGGCTTCTCAGGTTCCTGATCAAGCTGCTTAACGGCCATGATTCCAGAGATTCAGAAACAAACCTCGGACCCCACTGGCTTTTGGCAGAAAATCCTCCAGATTTAAGTGTCAAGATTTCGTAATTTCAAAATCACTACTGCAGCCACGTTACATCATATGTTATTCATAACCAGCATTAGAAAACAAATTGTCTACTGTTGACTTTTCGGCAGATCTGAGTTTTGGGGTAAAATCCCAAATAATAATTGTGGGTCTGGTATCAAAATATTGAATGTTATCAAAGTAGAGAGAGAGAGTAACGTGGAAATCATCTGCCCCACAGGTAGGGGGAGGGTGTGGGATTGGGGTATACTGGTGTTTTTGGTGGTGGAGAATGGGTACTGGTGAAGATATGGGTATTTCATTGTATGGCTGAGACCTAAACCTGAAAGCTTTGTAACTACTCTCACGGTGATTCAATAAATAAAATTATAAAAAAAAATAGAAAAAAAAGTAAGGTGGAGTTCATGCCCAATTCAATAAGCTAATCAGTGGCTGAATAAATAGCAGTATTCCTATATTTAAGGTAAAGGTAAAGGCCCTCCCGTTGTTCATTGATTTGCTCTAGCGGGCCCAGTAACGTCTCCATTGGAGACTTTGTTGTTACTGTGTCTGGCATATCGAATACGTCACGGGTAGCTTGCCAGGCTCTGCCGTGCAGGTGAGATACTCTCGGTAGCTTGCAGGGCTCTCCGAGAGGGGCAGAGGAATCGAACTCGGGTCGGCCATGTTGGCTGCGTGCAAGGCAAACGCCCTACCGCTGTGCTATCGCTCCAGCCTCTATATTTAAAAAAAAAGTATTTGTCGCTTTAAGATTAAAAAAGGAAAAGAATGATTATATATCAGCCTTTTTAAAATGCACACTAAATAGAAGAAAAGCCAGTCTGTAGCTAAGAAGAATTAATATTAATTTAACTTAATCCTCATCTTTTTTCTAAATTATCAAACAGAGCTCATATTCTGACTGGGAAAGAATAACAACCTTTTCTTGGCTCCCCAACAGCAATCATCACAGTGCTATCATCACATTTAGAGTCAGAGATTTTTTATATCTAAGCTGTTATAATTCACAGTTCATTGACAATTTGATGTCAGGGGTATACTACTTTCTGGAAGTATTGACTCCTCAAATTGTATGACTTTAAATAAAAAGTTTGGAAATTTTCAGAGCTTTATGTTACTTAATATATGACATTTGAATTTGAACTTTATGGAGAAGAAATTGTTAGAATGGTTTACAGGATTATATTTTAGACCCGGATGTTGGAGAACAACTTAGAGTGCTATCAAGAGTGCTTAGAAACTTAGCAAGAAAACACTAGAAAGGAGTAAATAAATCAACATAGAGACATCTCAAATTTTGACTGGTCTTTGAGTGGCAGACGAGATTCTGAAGAGACTGAGAATGAATGGTTTGAACACTGAAACATCTGGACTGATGTTTCAGATGTTGCACAGAAAATAGAAGTGTTATTAATCTCTTCCCTACCATGTTTGAGAGGACTGACGAGCAATTCAAAGTTTCCACTGACAGCCCAAAATGGAAGGATTAAGAGAAAAACAATGTTTCAAGATTAAAGATTTTTCCCTCGAACTTTGAATAAATTTGGCAGAGTGCCTCCTAACTACTGCAGAATCACTTTAATTGCATGGTGACTGGTACTTAAATGAGAATTTATTTGAACAAAAATTACTAGTATTCTACTGGGGAAATTAAAAAAGTGAGTCTATACTACCTGTATTTCATGATATATAATAATCCATATAAATTATTGGTCATGTTCAAAAAAGGGAGGAAAAGGATTATTCCTCATCAGAAGAAAAGTAGGGAATAGAAACTCAAATATAACACAGGGTTCAGGGTCAGGGCTCAGTGGTAAAGACCTGCCTCGCATGCAGTGTCAGGGGGACTATGAGTTAATTCTCCGCACTGCCCCACATTACCACATGTGATTCTTAGCATGGTCGCTGTGATCTCTGGCAAATCAAAAAGCGTGTGATCTCTGGTTCAATGCCACCAAATGCATCCACACATCACAACCAAAAGTGCGTTATCCCACAACCAAGAATGCAATCCCTGGAGACTGCAATAGAAGCAAAGGGAATTGAAGCAGGGAATATAATCAGATGATAGCATCAGGGGAATATAATCCAGATGATAGCATTCAGAGATGAAAACCTGAAGGTATCACATATATGCCTGTAGATTTACATATGCTTGAAAGATAAAAGGTTGTCATGATGAATTTTTCAAATCAGTAAATATCAGGAAGGCAATAGAAATGCCAAAAAATTAAAACAAAATTTTGAAACTGAGAAGTACAGTATTTGGAACAAAAATTTAATCAGACTTAATAGCAGATTAAAATAACAGATGAGTAACAAATTTGAAGACAATCCAATAGGAATTATTCTATCCTTGAAACAGGAAAAAAGGACAAATTTGGAACCCCCATGATATTCAGAATAGTCATTAAGTCATATAACATATGCATACTTGGAATCTTAAAAGAATTTGGGGAAGCTAATTTGGCAGGAAAAATGAGTTAAGAAAAATGATGATGGTCGGGGGTATGGTGCTGCCAGCAGGTCAATCTGTACCTGTGAGGCGAGTGCATCAGCAGCCTCATGGCGCCTCCAGATACCCCAAAATTGCTGCTGTGCCTTTGGCCAGACCCCAAAAACTTGGGGCAAAGTTTACCAAGAAAGTAAACGGCCAAAAGTTAGGTATGTGGGAAACACACCCACAAACCACCTCCGGCTCAGCTATATAATTGGAGGCAAGGCCTCTTTGGTTCCTGATTGAACTGCTTAATGGACATGATCCCAGAGACTCAGAAACGAATCTCAGAACCCAGTGGCTTTAGGTAGAAATGCGTCTGGACTCTGCAGTAGGCTACCGGT